AATTCCTTCCAAATATTGATGCAAACATTTTTTCTTCTAAATATTACAGTCTTAAAGGTGATTTACCGTTGTTATCTTCGTCAAGTATGCAAGTTGAAGCAACACATAACTCTTATTATTCTTACTTTGACAAGTTTTTATGGAAAGCTGAGACAATTAGTATCTCTGAGATAACAAATATGCAACATGTAATAAAGCTTTACTATCGTGTTTACATATGTGACAAGTAGTTGACATTACCATCGATTGACAAATCCGTAGTAAACAACCTGTTTGACTGTTGCCACTTTGGAGAAATTTGAGGCTGGCCAGACAGGATGGTATTACGATGGATTTGTTGAATGCACCAATAGTGTGACTCTGAAGGATGGAAAGCTGCAGTGTTATTCGAAACACATCAGTTCATAGTCAGTGCCAAGGTATTATATATATCATAGTTATATTACCAATTGGTATTGTGTAGAGTGGCATTACATAACTTATTTGAATACGCTTACATGATTGGTATAAATGTTGTAGGTATAACCTCGGAGTGTTGGTTGTTGATGGTAAATTCAATGCCAAGTTTATCTTTTGGAACATCGATTGCATGAAGTTAATTGGAAAGTTTGCTCTTCAAATGAAAATGGATTTGATAGAGGTGGATAATTACATATAATCATTTATGTGTATTTTAGATTAAATTATCAATACAATTGTTTGTATTGATGTAGGCTGGTGATTACGATCCCCTAGAATTCCCTTACGGACTTGATGCAATACTAAAAAAGGAGTTAGCAATTAGAGCTCTTTTTCAGCCTAAGAATGCTCGAGTTTCTGTCATTGGCTTCAAAGATGATGACGATTATCGTAAGAAAATAAGGGACAATTTCAAATTTGAAGAGGTAATCTTTGTGTACTTCACCATTACATCACACTCTTTACTAAATTGGCCTAATATTTTTTGTCTTGGCAGCATACTTCAAAGTTTCACACACCGGATCCTTCATCACAAGATGAAATAATAAGTTATTTTATGAGTATTTACTTCATTCAAATGTTTAGAATTGTAAACTTAATAAATATTCCCATATTATACACCTGATTATTGCTTCTCCATTTTCATAACAGGAACCTTTATTTGCATCTACAGATTATGACTCGTCACTTGGAAATTCGAGGTTGACTCCGTCTAAGAGGTCTTTAACTGATGCAGTAGAAGATGTTGAGAGTGTCCAACAATCCTCAACCAAGTTCACCAAAGATATAAAAAAGGAGAAATAGTTAGCTTCAGTTTTTTATATGCTTATTTAGCCTTAATTTTGAACAAAACAATGTGATTGTTAATGTTGTTTCTTGCTTTTGTTACGTTGGACCTGGTACTAAGTTTTTCATTCAGTTTCACTACTTATTTTAAGTTACGACTTACTACAAAATGTTGTTATTATCTGTCTAAACTCTACTATATTTTTGTTAATGCAATTTGTAATGGTTACATTCTAAATTAAATGCATATGGAGAAGCAAGTTTTGCTGCTGTTTTTGTCCATTGACCTATAAAACATATCTATATAAGTTGTATCAACTGAAGGTGTTCGTTCATTAATCTCTTTTTTCTTTCAAAATTGCACATCATAACATGACCAATCAACTAAATATTTGGTATGACAATGGATTCCTAACTATAAAATTCAAACAAGTTAATGAAATAACAGTAGAAGTCTCATCTCTTTTTGTATAATTTATGTATTGAGAACAATTCTACTAACATGTATTGATCATATACTTAATACCAATAACTGTATCAACTGAAGGTGTTCATTAATCTTTTTTCCTTTCAAAATTGAACATTATAACATGACCAATCAACTAAACCCTAAATTATTTTTTATTCCAATGGATTCTGAACTATATAAAATTCAAACAAGTTTATGAAATAACAATAAAGTCTCATCTCTTTTTGTATAATTCATGTATCGAGAACAATTCTACTAACATGCATTGATCATATACTTAATACCAACAACTGTTCATCAATGTTTACTTTAAAAAGACAGACTCTTAACATGATCAATGCATGTGGTCAGCAGTATATGTATATGTGTATGTTAACCTTATAACATATAAAGTTTCAATGTTTACAGATGTTTTGGTCATATGCCCAAGTCAAGTTAGAAATGTTGCAATGTGATAATTAGCTAAACTAAAAGGTTCTTTAATCATGCAGTTTTTGTATCAATATACTTCAAAGACATCCTTTGTTCATTAATATTGTTTACAATTTTGGTCATGTTATGATTAAAGTCACCCTGAACCCTATTCTACAGTCTTTGTCATCTCAATGCATTCCAAATGACATGATTTCAATATCGTCTATGCACTACAGTTTCAACACCTTATTGCCAAGTTTAATTAAATCTACGATAGATTAAGCAATTAACATGCATTGATCATTTTTTTAGAACCACCAGTTGTTCATCTCTGTCTGAATTTCAAACAACCAACTCTTAAACTGATATCTAATTTCTTCAGGAAATAATATATTCTTTATTATGTAGTATATGTTTCAATAATATTTTGTTTCAGTAAGGACTTCTTTACATGACCAACCAATTAGATTTTGGAGTATTTGTTATGTTAATGGATTCGACATCTCATAGTTTACAAAACATTTATGAATTAACAATAGAATTCTCTGTTTGAAGAAGACTTTAATCTAAGTATATATTTTTTGCAGAATTTGTGCAGAAGCTTCATTTCTGTTGTCATTATGTATTAGCACCTGTGTAACTTATCCTCATATTGTTTACAGGCCTAAAGCATCATGCGTAGCAAATGACTAATATAACAATCTAAATGCATAAATTTTGTATAATTTCAATTGAAGAAAAATGTAAGGTACGTAGCCGCAAATTTAATAATATACTTATGAAATTAATAACTTAACAAGATAAATTAACAAAATTTTGATAAGTTATATCTGATCCATGATTTTTATTTTGTATTACAAGAACTATAATAACTATGTTGAAATAGATTGAAACTTTAGCAAACATAATTATATTATCCAAACAAACTGGAAAGTTTCACACTGGTACCATCATGGTTTGTAAACTAAAATTAGAGGGGACTTAAAAAGTAAGGAACTTTGACATACATGTTCATACTTAAAAATACCAAAATGACAGTAACTTGACATATAGAAGGACACATCCATCAACCACAAAATATTAACAAAACATAGAACAACACAGATGACAGCTTCCCCTTCAAGTGTCCTTCTTTTGGTGACAATTGTACATCCTAACATATAATGTTTCCTTCTCTGATTTATAGTGGAAAAATAACTTATCTCCAATAAGCAGTTTTTTCTGCTTAGCAAACGCATACCATCCCACTCCAATATACATTTCCACATTTACCCTATTTGATTTGATGATTTTACATTCATAATACTCACGTAAAAAATGTGTTATTTAATTTCCTTTACAATACTTGATGTTTGTGTGTGAATATTCCAACTATTCATTTTTCCAAAGAAAAAGTTATTGCACAGTAGATAATGCATGGATTCAAGTTAGTATTGATTATGACCTTACGATTTACCAATACAATATGCATACTATTTGTCATGTTATACTTATTTTAATAAAAGCTTTATCTTATTAATGTTAACCACGATTGGTTACATTAACCTTCCTTACATGTAAAGTGAATGGACGTGTTCTCATTGACAATTTTTATAATTTAATTTAATAATTTAATTTAATGAGATATAATTTAATTATTTATAATATTTGTAATAATAATATTAAACATTGTACTTAATCAAATGACATAACTTATTGCTCATAAAGTGTTCCTGCAACATCAATAAAACAGTTTAACAAATTATGCTGCATCACATGAATTACATATTCACAATACAAATTCCATATCATTCTCATTAATTGTTGTTGCTATTAGTGATATTCTTTTTAAAAGTTTAATGAGAAATTTAGACTGAACTAATAGATTGTGCAATGGAATAAGATTATTTGTTACAAGATTAGTCAATCACGTCATTGAGGCAAAAATTATGTCTGAAAAGAACATATGTAACATTTTTTACATTCCTAGAATGTCTATGTCACCTTCCGAGTCACAGTGGTCATTTAAGTTGATTAGGAGACAATTTTTAATCATTATCTCTTACGCAATGACAATTAATAAATCTCAAGGTCAATCACTTGATAGTGTTGGATTGTATTTGCCTACTCCTGTTTTTAGTCATGGACAATTGTATGTTGTTATTTCAAGACTTACGACCAAAAGTGGTCTTAAAATCTTAATACATGACAAGGAGAGTGTGTCGTGCTCGACTACTTCAAATATTACATACAAGGAGGTTTTCCAAGCACTTTGTTAGATGGTAATTTTTCTCACCCTATCTTTGTATGTGTAGATGCCACACACTTAATTTAGTTTTGTAAAAATTTTGAAAAATCGAGATCTTATTTTATACATTTCACGATGCAACTATATCATGCAGGTTATTGTTACTAACCAGTTTCGATCATTTAATAAGATAGCATTTGAAATTGGTACCATGAAGATATTTACCTTTGTACTTAAAAAGCTGAAATTTTGAATGTATTATTAGCGGCAACAATCTTAATTATTCTGTTTTTGGTTCAATATAGACTAAATTTTGATTAAATATAATGTTTGATATATATTAAGAAACTTTACAAATCAATTTAAATATATGATAGTACGGATTTCCTACTTAGTAAGTAAACAAATCAAAATTGTTTATAATAATTTCGAAAGAGTAGAAGGTACAATTTTACGGCACAAAATAATTTTAAAGCGGGCGGAGGGACGGGAATTTAAGTAGTTTTATTTCCTAATCATAAAGTTTTATTAATACATTTAAAATTCCATTTGAAATGATGATGAATAATAAAGACACATTCGAAACAACAAGGTGGTGAATGAAGCGTGAATCTCTTTGATTTTCATTTTCAACATCAAAGGAAAATGAAAAGACCACAAAAATCAAAGAAAAGGGTTTGCAAGAAACAATGGATGAAAGAATGGTGGGAAAGAGAGTTTCCGAAATGGTTGACACATTACTGTAGTGATCATCAAATACTTTTGGTGGGTGATGGCGATTTCTCATTCTCCCTTTCCCTCGCTAAAGCTTTTGCTTCTGCTTCCAACATCGTTGCTTCTTCTCTCGACACATATGGTTTTCTCTCTCTTCTAAACCCCATATATACTACTTAATTGTAACACAGTTGTCTATATTTAGGGTTTATGCTACATGGTTGGTTATTTTTACTTGTGTTTTATGGGCTATTACCTCTTAATAAAATGTGTCTATGTCAGTATTCGTAACCGACAACGACACCTCTGAATAAAATGTGTCTATGTCATTATTCGACAACGATACCTCTAAATAAAATGTGTCAATGTCAGTATTTGTAACCGACAACGACACCTCTGAATAATATGTGTCCATGTCAGTATTCGTAACCGACAACTGACACTTTTGATTCCATTTAATTTACCGACAACGTATTTCTGGTGTATGTGCTTTCATAGTTTAAGAATCTAATGAGTTTGAGACTAATCTATTTTATTTACTTTTTGTCTTTTATATTGTTTTATAACCATTATGAATGAGCTTCTCTCAAATTTGTCCCTTTTTCCATGTTTGTTTAAAGATTTTAATCATTTTCCTATTCTTCATAATTTGGGAGTGTGCTTGTGTGATGCACTCAGCACCGACACATCTGAGAAAATGTACGTTTGTGTCTGTGTCGTATCTATAACTGACACCCGACACCGACACTTGTGATTACACTTCATTTATTTATTTTTTTCAAATTATTATTGAATTCAACATGTCGGTATCAGTGTCGTATTTCTGGTGTCCGTGTTTTACATGCATCATGCATTGATGATATATTTTGATTGCTTTGAGAAGTAGAGTGTGTCAATGAACTTGGATTGTTTTTCCTTCTTTATTTCTTTGATTAATAGCGTATTTATTTATTTATTGTAGTACTTGTTTTGGTTATTTATTATTCATATCTAATGTCATCTAGTTTTGAAGGTGCATGGTTGTTATAGTTGATTGTATTGCAAATATGAAAGTCAAAATGATACTTATTTACATAACTCATAGACTTGTGTTCAAAAATAGAAATGCTTTGGCCATGGTTTTGTCATCAATGCCCTTCTGTTCATGTAGACGAGGTTATCAAGAAGTACAAGAATGCTAAGTCAAATCTAGAAGAATTGCAGAAGCTGGGAGCATACTTGTTACATGGAGTTGATGCTACACGAATGAAGCTTCATCCTGATTTAAAAATGCGAAGGTTTGATCGCATTATATTCAACTTTCCTCATGCTGGCTTTTACGGGAAAGAAAAGAACTTGATGATGATCAAGTGAGTTTTCTAGTAGAATTCAGTTTAATCACTAACTATTAATGTCTTGAGCACATACACATAAAACTGGAAATGATAATATAAATCTACCTTTTTTTTGTTATGCACGCGTTTCTACAGAATTGTAACTTTGCATTTTCAAAAATGCTTTGACAGTTATCATAGTTAAGGCATTTAGAATGAAACTTTTATTAACAATACTATGTGATTTGTGTTTTCTTGTGAATTTTTAGGATGCATGTGGATCTTGTGTTTGGATTCTTCAAGAATGCAAGTCACATGCTTAGGGAAAATGGCGAAGTTCATGTCAATCACAAAACTACTCCTCCTTTTGATACCTGGAACATAGAGAAGCTCGCAGAGCAAAACTTTCTGATGATGATCGAGTGTGCTGATTTCAAGCAAGAAGATTATCCAGGTTATAACAATAAGAGAGGTCATAGATCTCGATGTGATGACCCGTTTCCTCTTGGTAAGTGCAGCACTTTCAAGTTTATAAACAATCCTAGAAGTATGAAAGACCATTTGAGGAGAAATCATATGGAGGTTTCTAGGCAGCAAGAGATTCACAACATGGGGCGAATTCCAGCTCCAGTTGATCGCAACTATCATCCTCAAACAGTTCTTGTTCAAAAACCGAATCAACTTGATTACTACTCTCAGACAAGTATCTTTCCAAAAACAGATCAAGTCGATCATTATTCTCAGACAAATCTCTTTCCAAAAAGAAATGAACCAATGAGATCAAAATTTGACTTGAGAAATGGATACCTTACAATCACAAACAATATGAAAGAAATACATGGAAGAGTTGCTTCTTCTGCTGACTATTATTGTTGTGCTCGCAATACGACACACAACACTCAAAGATTGTTACAACCACCAATGGAGGCAAGTTACAACCGATTTTCACAACAGTGGCCGAAACCAACTATAGCTAGAAGAATGGATGTTGCTCCCTCCATTCCACTTGGTCCTAGAAATGATGGCTACCACCAATATCAACAAGTATTAGAAAGTCAGAGGTCAAGTGATTGTTATGATATAGCAAGACATGACTTGGAGAGGTACAATGCTGAAGTTTCTAGGAGAGATTTTAGAAGAGAAATCTATGTAATACAATGAGTATGTTGATGCTACATAGAAGGATGATATTTTGTTACATACTATATAGCTATGGAGTTGTGAAACAGGTGTTTTTGTTATCAACGTTTACTTTATGTTGATCTTTGGCAGGATGCTATTATTATGGTATAAGAAATTAATCTTTAGTAGTTATATGATCAAAAGAATTGATCAAATTGACAGGTTCATTGATCATTGACCTTTATTTCCTATATTAATACTCGATTTGTCTCATATTATTTGTCGAATGTACACGTATCAAATGGAGTAATACATCATCTTTGTCATGTATTTAAATAATGTCATATAGCATCTGATGTGGTTGTTTGATATGTGAAAATTATTTAAGATGAGTTTTGTTTTCTTATTTCCTTTGTGCTACTATATAAAAGTCATAACTAAATCTCAACAAACACGTACATGTAACACTTCTTCACCCTAACAATTATCTTGAAAAAATACACACATTGAAGAGTACAAATACAGATTTTTATTATTAGTAGAAAATACAACCAACTACTTTCATTATTTAACCGTGCTGAAGAGTAAAACAATTGTGCTACATTTTCATATGATCCAAAAGCTGCTAAAGTCATTGACCCATATTTTAGAGACTTACGCTTTAATATGTTTGTATCATAAAATTACCAACAAGTCAGGATGGCCGAGTGGTCTAAGGCGCCAGACTCAAGTTCTGGTTCTCGTGAGAGAGCGTGGGTTCAAATCCCACTTCTGACAATTTTGCATTTTTTATTTATTTATTTCACCAAATATGCTTTCTATACCCTTCACACTTTTGGGCTTTTTGAAATTTTTTTCCATCTTATAGTCCATGTATATTACATTAATTTTAAATTTAATAAAATATTGTAAAAGTACTATTCAAGCAATAAATAAATTATTATTATTTAATGATAGCTATAAATTATTATTATTTTAATTGTTTGTATTTTTTTCTTCCTAATATAGAATAGTTGATTTTAGCTAAAACTATTTTTGACTTAATTACAGTTTTAACTCCACTATTTACACTCTTATTCAAATTCTAAAACAGGGTGGAAATATGATATCATCCTTTCACAATTTCTTTTATAAGCAATGAAATGATTATAATTAAAGTATAAGGGATATTCGCCGATTACATGAGTTACTTTTATTTAAAGACTCCAAGAGACACATATATTAAAAATGAAAGTTGCTACATCCCTTAAAAGTATTTTCAATTACATGCTAAAATCATAAAATTAACTTAACATTATCAACCACGTCACCAACCTGAAAATCAAGAGTTCACGCCCAACTCTTATTTATATTAATCTACAAAAATATTATTCATCAAAGAGTATGAGTTGAATCAACACATAAAATTTGTTCAAATCCATTTTTAAAAAAAAGTGAATTCGATTAGATAATTAGATAAATATGAGTTTAAAAAATAAAAAATCTATTAAAAACATCAGGTTGTAGGTAAAATCAGACCCACACCCAAAAATTTACTAATTTACTAATCAAACATTTATTATTATAATTTTAATGATTTTGATAAATATTAATTTTGTTGTTGCAATGTTAGTCTCTTAAACCTTCACTATTTTAATGAATCATAATTTTAATTAATTTTGAATATTTTACGCTTTAATTATTTAGATGTTAATACAATTTTATATCATACAATTTTTATTTGTTGTTAGTATTTTACCATAACTTTTATTAGTTAATGTTACTATTTATTATTTTATAATAATAAAAAAATAGTAAAAATAGGTTATTTAGTTTTTTTTTAAATGTAAAAATGTTATATAATTTTTATAAAAAATACGATGAGTCATCATTTAATAATTAATTATTAATAAGATAAAAAATTATTTGGACAAATCTATTATTCAATCTAATACAATTCAAAAATTAGTGAATTTGTCCAATCTAATCCATTGATATAGCAGGGAATTATTTTAACTCACCCAAATTAAAGTGTCTTATATAAGTTGGATATTGCGTTTGACCAAATTCAACCCAAATCGATCCATGTACACTCTTAACCCTTATACCCTAATCTTCTCATCTTTACTACAAAAATATTATTGTCGACTAGCAAATCATATAGGATGATTAAACCAAAAATAAATTGTACTTCTCTATATATCATTTTATCCTACAAATCATTTTAAATCCTAAGAAAACTTGTTGAATTTGATTTAGTTTAAAATAAAAAATAATAATTTAATTTTTAGAAAAAATAAATCAGAACAATTATATTTTTTTTTATGGACTTACTTTTGACCTCTTTAACATTGTGCTTGAAAAAAAAAAACCTAAACGAAAAGAAAAAAAGAAAGAAGATAACGCATAATATTCTTTTAAAAGAATTATTTATTAAATATAAGTATTTGACCATAGAAAAAAGTGTGATTTGTATTTTTATTTTGTTTGATTTATATTTATATTTTAATATTTTTTATTATAAAATTTTACAACTGTAACGTTATATTATAGATTTTCATTCTCTTTGTTTTTATTTTTATAATTTTCCTTAGAGATTAAAAGAAATTTCGAGTCGTTATTATAACATATAATTTTACAATTTATTAAGAATATAATGTTAAGCAATATATAGTATGGACATGTGATTATAAGTAGAGGTAATATTTATCTTACAAATTGATTTTGTAGAAGTGAATTAGACTCCATCACAATTTTTAAGATGAAATTGGAGTTTGTTCATGATTTGTTGGGTCAGTGCTTAATAGAGATAAATTTAAATTCGACAAGTTTCTCAATGAGTCATCCATGTATGTATCAAGTATTCTTAATGATTTCCAATCTAGGCCTCGAATGGAACTCTTTTGTATAGTAAAGACTTCTTGAAATCAAAACCCTAATTGTCAGGATCAGACCAAGATTTCTTCAAAATCTTGCATCTTAAGCAATTGTTAAAGCTCTTAGGGTGATGTCTTTCACCTGATGAACAAATTCACATGGAACGCTCCTTGAGATTCACATGATAAGGGAAATAAATCCTAATTCATGTGGAGATGACATGCCTAAGAATATGATCTTCAATGCTTGAATTTGTGGCCTTTAGATGACCTTGAAGATGTCTCGTGTTGTAAGCAATAATAACCCTCTCTTGTGTTGAAGGATGCCAAAGAATGTTGAGGATAAGAGCTTTAAAAGATATGCCATCAAGCCTTTTGGGGATTCATTAGATGACCTTGTATGAGGGTCATAATCTAACCACACTCCTTGCATCTTCAGTTGAGATGAGTCTGCAAAATATAAAACCCTAATGCACAAGTAAAACCCTAATCCCATGACTATTGATCCAAGTATCAAGCCTCAAATATTAATGAATGCATGCATTGTTTGATGACCTAATGGAGGGTATACACATGAAGAGTATGATAAGTATAAGCCAATTAGAGGTTAGAAGTATAAGGATAGGACAAATTTTGGGTATGGCATATGCCCCTATTTAATCGTCTTAAACCTGAAGGTGTGATTGACGCTAGCCTTTCAAACATTCGAGATAGAAAAAGATTAAATATCAAGACCTGAAATTTGTCCTGAAGAGAAGTTATGAGTATTTGCAATGTATCCTGGGAATTTTCTTTTGTTTTCTGTTGAAAAATGTTTGTGATGAATAAGTGTGGTTGAATGGTGATAACTTGTAACGTAACGACGATGCCAATACAAGGTTTGCAAGAGAGATGGTTGTTACTGAAATAATGACTAAAACTATATGGTTGACAATGACGTGGTGACTAAAGAGTATTATCAACGATAACACAATGACTTATCATGTAGGATCAATGACGGGTAAAACTGATAAACAGTAAGATCGATGATAGTGGGATAATCTATCATGTAGGATCTAGGACAGGTAAAATTCACAAAAATTAAGACCGATGACAGTGAGGTATCTATGATGCATGATCTATAACTTGGAAATAAAGACAAAGGGTGAGATCGATGACAGCATGGTATCTATCATAAAGGATCTATAACCTGGAAGGAAATATAAAGGGTAAGATTGATGACAATGGAGTATCTATCATGTAGGATCCACGCCTGGAAAGAAAGACAAGAGTAACATCGATGACAGCGAAGTATCTATCATGTATGATCCATAACCTGGAAAAAAAAGATAATGGTAAGTTCGATGACAATGGAGTATCAATCATGTAGGATCCATAACCTTGAAAGAAAGACAAGGGTAAGATCTATGATAGAGGAGTATCTATCATGTAGGATACACAACCTGGAAGGAAATACAAAGAGTAAGATCAACGACAATGGAGGATCTATTGTGTGGGATTTACGACCCAAAAGGAAAGGCAAAGAGTAAAATCGACGACATTGGAGGATCTATCGTGTGGGATTTACAACCCAAAAGGAAAGGCAAAGGGTAAAATCGACGACAGAGGAGGATCTATCGTGTGGGATTTACAACCCAAAAGGAAAGGCAAAGGATAAAATTGACGACAACTGAGGATCTAACGTGTGGGATTTACAACCCAAAAGGAAAGGTAAAGGGTAAAGTCAATGACAACAGAGAATCTACCGTGTGGGATTTACAACCCAAAAGGAAAGGCAAAGGATAAATTTGATGACCGTGGAGGATCTATCGTGTGGGATTTATAATCCAAAAGGAAAGGCAAAGGGTAAAATCGACGACAGTGGATGATCTGTCATGTGGGATTTACAACCCAAAAGAAAAGGTACGAGAGAGGGTAAGATCGACATATGATATACAACTCAAGAGAAAAGACTAAAAGATGGTAAGATCGACGTATGATCTACGACCCAAAATTACTAACTCTGAAGCATAACATGGTCTGGCTGTATTTAGTGACATAACTCGTGTCAATTTCCTAGAATCCACACGCCTACACAAAATTACGATGGTAACACGACTGGCCTGTGTTAGAGAACATGCAAAAACCCGGGTTGAACACGAGCAGCCCGTGTCAGCTTCCAGGGCGGGGGCTTTAGTCATTTGT